AGGCTTGCCAGGTAAGTGCTTATGCCACTGAGCAAAATCCCCGGCCCCAAAGAATTCACTCTTAAAGGGACTCCTCCAGTCACAGGAGCTTCCAGCCCTTAATGAAACTTTAGAAGTAATGAAACTCAGAATAAGACCCACCATTAGCCGAATCCCTGACTCACAAAAATTAAGAAATGTTTATTGTTTTGTTTTAAATTTTTTTGTCCTTTTTGAGACAGAGTCTCTCTATGTATGCAGTTAGGCTAGCCTTGAGCTCACTTTGAAGCCCAGGCTGGTCTTGCAGTGATCCTCTTGCTTCAGCTTCCAGAGTGCTGGGATTACAGGTGTGCACCACCATGTCTGGCTCAATGTTTATTGTCTTACACTACCCAGTTTAGAGGTAATTTGTCACACAGTAATAGGTAACTAGTACATGGGTAGGTAAAATGACCCTTATTTTATAATGGGGAGACTAAAGCACATGAAATGAAAGGTTAGTAAGTACACAGCCTTTGGAGGCAGGCTGACTGAGTATGAATCCTTGCCACTTACTCAGATGAGTATCACTATTTGTGAGAAACAAATATTAATACTTCTGAGTACTGATTCAGATATTTTTAAGGTAATCTGTCTTTGATCCATAAATTTCATGCTTACATAGTATGTGCACTATGCCACTGTCCTAAAAACTGAAACAAATCTAAACATACACGAAAGTGAACTGGTAGTTACTGCATGGATATTCATTTGAATACTATCCAGTACTAATAAATGTGTGAAATACATAAGAGAAGCCAGTGGTTAAAGAATTACCATTTAAAAAAATAGCAGTGTTGGGGCTGGGGATTTAGTTCAGCGGCATAAGTGCCTGCCTTGCAAGCAGGCAGTCATGAGTTCGATCCCTGGTACCAATAAAAACGAAAAAGACAAAAAAAAAAAAAAAAAAAGCAGTGTAGTTGTGTTTATGCATTATGTGTAAATACATATTTTTAAAAAGAATTTGAGAGATAAAGTCTACAGGGGTTATTTAACTAAAGGCTATATTTTCCACTTTTTAACTTTATTTACTACAGTAAACCAGACTATTTAACTTAAAAGAAAACTAGTATTTAAAAGAAAAAATTTTCATTGTACCTTCCTGCACCTGCATCAATACTACAGCTATACCAGAATGTACTACGGTTCTGGGACTAGGTACTGAAAAAACCTGCCAGACTTCTCAAGTAGTGCCATGAATTAAAATCAACACTATGGCTATTTCCATGTTGCTATCTCCACCCCTGATTTCTCTCTGTAATCCAGACTCATAACATGTATCACCTTCACCTGAATGTGTATTAACCATCTTAAACCCAAAACTTGAGTAACTATCCCAAACCGTAATACTGCTCCTTTTTCAACTTTTCACATCTCAGGAAAGAACTCAAGTATTCCACAAAATTTACAAAACCAAGCTCCAGGTGTTATCTTTGAGTCAATTTCTCTCCAATCTATCAAAAGAAAAAAAAATATCTCTCAGAAACAAATCCTAATTCCACCTCCACATTCACCACTCTGGTCCAAATTGCAATTGCTTAAAATTATTGTACTAGCCTCATAATTAACTGGTCTCCTTGCATTCCTTTTTGCCCTCCCTATTATCCATTCTCTACATACCATCAAAGTAATCTTTCTTTAAAAAGAAAGAAAGAAAGAAAAATCACAAATGAAATAGCTCTCCCTTGCTTACACAGGCTTCCATTTTTATCTTTAGAAACTTAGTGCTTTGGTCATGTGTTTATAATAATCTCTTCATTCACCTCAGCAACTGAAATGTTTTTTGTTTGTTTCCCAAAACAAGTTGTTAAAGGTCTTTGCCCTCCTAGACTGTTACCAAAAACACTCCTCATCTGAGTGCTTATCATTCATCTCGAACGTCACCTTTATAAAAACTGCTGTGACTAGTCAATTTAAAAAGAGCAACCCAGGAAAGCACTATCACATCAGCTTGCCCTACTGAGTTTTCCTCGTATCACATACCATTACCTAGTTATTTAAATTTGTTCTTTTTACTGTCTTAGCTCACTAAATGAACAATGACAGTATAACCATCTAATAAGTACTCAACAAATAATTTGTTAAATTAATCGACATGCAAGCATACTTCATTGAAGGATATTCACCAAAGAATGCATTTGAAACATTCTTATTAAATGTTTACTGTGTGCCTGGCACCTAAAGAGCAAAAGTCTAGCAGAAGTCAGACACAGGAATGCTTGTCTGTAATCACACTTAGTCTGAAGAGCCTGAGCAGGATCACAAGTTTAAGTTAGGCTCTACCCAATTTAGGAAGACCCTATCTCAAAAAAAAAAAAAAAAAAAAAAAAAAAGAAGGGACTGTATCTAGCATGACTTTATTATGGAAAAATACAATAAACACTAACAAATCATTCATAAATGATGGCTAACATTCTATATACAGAATACTAAAGCAGCAAGCAGTCTTAGCTTACCATCCTATCTGTTTCTTATTTTAGATCTATTTGCTAATGTTAATGTCCCTGGTTACACAGTATCACTACCAATTAGAAATAGCACACTTAAGACTCACACATTATTAATATGTTCTTTCTTTTTCTACTGGAATTCTAAAGCACTGTAAAAATAATATATATTAATCAAAACTCAAGTAAGGTCTGGAGTGTAACTCAGTGGCAGGCAGAGCAATTCTGGTCTGCAAGTGACACCGGCTCAATCCAGACCACCACAACGCCCCCCTCCCAAAAAAACAAACCCAAAAACCCAAGACATTGGTTTGAAAAACGTTTTTACAGTATATTTATGTTAAAACACTATAACAAACTATATTTACATAAATGGCTAACAAAAAAAGACACTGAGCTTACTGAAAACATGCAATACAATATTTTAACGCTTTGTGTAGTTAACAATTGATACAAATAAAACACTGGTTGTAAGACAATGTGTGAACAGACTGAAGAACTACATAAATCTTACAGAGCATAAATATTCCAGTTCCATGTGGAGTATGCATAACTTCAATAAACCTACATATTTACACAAAATAGTCTTTAAGTTTCCATAACTTGGGGTCTTTTGTTTTTGGTACTGGGGACTGAACTCAAGACCTGACATTTGCCAGGCAGGCACTGTGTCACTGAGCTGTATCCCTGGCCCAAATTTCCATAATTTGAGTTAGGCTCAAATTTTAGAATTCAATATTATAAGTTAATAAAGTTACATGGGACCAATATTTATTACCACAAAGAATCAAAGTCAAAGTAGTATTTTCATGTCGTTTTGTCTAAAATCATTGAGCCAACTGCATTTTAACTTTCATCCTTCAACTTACAATACACTCAGCAGCAAAAGAACAGCCAAGAATTTGACTCTATTAGTAATATCTGTCCACAGGGTGTTGATAATCACATCTGAAGACCGAAAAGTTCATACAAAATCTATACCTTCTTTTAAAAAATTTACAACATAAACTACGTCTACAATAATTTATTTATTTTGGCACTAGGAATTGAACTCAAAACCTCACGTTTACTAGACAGGCGCTGTGCCACATCCCCGGCCCGGTCTACTAATAATTCACTATTTTGATTATCAAAATCACTTTGTGCTGGGCCGGGATTTAGCTTAGTGGTTTAAGCGCCTGCAAGTGCCAGGTCGTGAGTTCGATCTCTGGTTAACCACCCCATCACTTTTTGCTACAATCTTGGAAAGGGTAGAAATTCTCCACTTCTCAAGCAAATAAAGATGATCAAACCCGATGGGTAAACACATTGCATTTTCACTCTAAGTTAGCCAACTCATTAAATAACTGACCTCATTTATAGATCACCAACCGATATTTAATCCTCACATCTCTACAAGTATTATTCCTATTCTAGAAGATACATCAGAGTAATTTTCCTAAGGCTGAGTAAATCACGTCACAGAGCTACAAGAGGAACTGAGGTCAAGTTTAACACTAGAACTCCTGATCTGCATTCAAAACAGAAATCAACTATTTTTCAAAATACAGATGGGCAGTAAGTTCTTGATTCAAACTTAGCATAATGTAAATCTTAACGGCATATAAGCATCACAACTTCAAAGCATAAGTCACATTGCAGGTATCTTCTAAATTCTTGGTATAAAGTCGTGTTAACGTCAACTAGCTTTTCTTTTTCCAGTCAGAAATACAGAAAAGCTGAGTATCAGAATTTACCAGGTAGAAGAAATTTAAAGATTCTACATTTTTTTCCCCCTTGAAGTGCTTCTCCTAGAGTTGGGAGAAGGTGCATGGTTCCAAGACTTCTAAGACAAGAGGACCCGCTAAATCTGGGGCTGAATTTGCATGCGGATTTGAAGGGCTCTAATGCAAAATCTTCACCACCTAAGAGGCCTGGGGTGTAATTTACATGTAGGTGCGCGTTCGGTGGCCGCAGGACCATCTTAAACCGATTCGAGACAAATGCAAGTAAAGGTTAACCACTCTAAGAAAATGGGGGCAAATAACTCCTTTTCCCCACCCCTCATCTCTCGTTAGGCTGCCGACGGAAACTAATACTTTTTTTTTTAAGACTCATCATCTCGGGTTACCAACTGCTAGACCTTAACGCCTGACCAGGTCCTCGAAGCAGCAGTGGCGACGCCTACATCTCCCTCCCCCACCTGTTCAACACCCCAGAAAGCCAGGCTCCCCGGTCGCGGCTGCCCAGCCTCCCCTCCCCCTCCGGCCGACACCATGCGCTCCCGGCCGGCCGAGGCCCTAGTGCCTGCGGGCGTGTGCTCCTCCACGCCACCTGCCTTTTGGCCTTCGGGGTTCGGCCACTGCTAACTCATTCTCGGGTCACCAGGCCACAGCGTCTCGAGGGAGTCCGCCTGCTCCTCGCCTGCGGGCCCAAACGCCTCGGGGTCCCGCACTCGCGCCCTCTGGATCCCTAGGCGCCCCGGTTGCGGCCAGCGCGTCGGCCCCAAGTCCAGGCCCCTCGCTCCCCGCACGCGTCCGCCCCGTCCCCGCATACCGTCTCCTCCGGGTCAATGTCGATCTTGAAAGTCTGTTGCTGGAGGGTCTTCAGGGTGACCTGCATGGTGCCGTTTCAGCGCCGCGGCCGGGCCTGCGCCGGGTGCTGGCCGCTGGGCGGGGTCTGTGGCCTGGCCGGCCCGGGGTCGCCCGCGCTCCTCGCGCGCTCGGAGGGAAGGCGGTGGGGGCGGGGGCTTGTCACATTCGCCCCACCGAGCGGCCTGTCCCCCAGCCCGCGCTCCGGGCCGCGCCGCTGCGCTCGCGACTGCGGCCTTCCCGCGGAGCTCGGGTTGCCGTACTTCCGCACCCACCAGCCGCTGAGTCCGCGGGAGGGGAAGGGGCCTCTGCGAGGCCGGCAGAGAATCCGCTACCTCACCACAGGATGGTGGCCGCCATCATCGTGACTCGCCGAGACGTACCCCCTCCCCCACCAGAAAAACCTGGGGGTTGGGGCCGGACTAGCGAAGCGCGCAAGCGCAGGGTGCGGCGAGGATGTGCGCAGGCGCGCGGGTTACTCCGGCCTGGGATTGGGGCGGGGCGCTTGGAGATTCCGGAATGTTGGTGGCCGGAATGGGACGTGCGCAGGCGCACACCGCTGGCGTCAGCGGCGCTCGCGGCTGTTTGGTAGGGTTTGCTGCCCGCGTCGCTCTCCGCCCGCGGCCTCCCTGTCTGCTTTCAGGGAGCTGTGCGTGTTGCGCAATTTGTATCTAGCGGAGCGCTACGTGGAGACCCGAGTGAGTGGATGCAGAGCCTGCGGCGGGGGGAGCTGCAGGGGCACAGTGTGTATGAAAGGCTCACAGTAACCACAGTCGTCTGCTGATTTATTGATCCTGGGGCACAGACTGCTGCGCGGGCCTGCCTGGGTTCAACTTTTGTGTTTTCTCGCTGGCCTTGAAACCTTGGGCCTACACCGAAGAACAGATTTAAAACGGAGTTCAAGTTATGTCACTGCCCTGGGCAGAGCTGGCCAGTGGTTCCCCAAGTCGCCTGGAGGAAAAGTCATAGTTTCTTCAGACTACAGCCATCAGCCCCGTTCGCTCCTCTCTGCTTTGCCTTGCCCTGTTCCGGCGTGGGTTTTTTGGTCTAAATGCCCCGCAAGGCCTTTGCTTTACACTTAAAACTGGGGCTCGTTCTGATTTGATTTTTTTTTCTTTTTGAGACAAGGCCTTTCTATGCAGTTCAGGCTGGCCCTGAGCTCACTTTCTGCTTCTAATTAATCTTTGCTCGGATGTCACCTTTTCAGTGACATCTGCAGTTTTGTTATCCTGCTGTATTTTTTCTATAGAGTTTAATCATCCATGTACTATATAATGTTTATATTTATTATGTGTATCGTCTTTCTCTTTTTAAGCCACAGTCTGAAGCTGCACGAAGGCATAAATTTCACTTTGTTTACCTGTACCCTGCACCCAAGAAACATGTCTGGCATATTGCAGGCACTCAATACATGTTAGGTGAATAAGCTGCCGTTTTCTTAAAAGTAAAGTGGAGATAATGTCACTCAGCTTATTGATCATTAGAGGAGGAAGGGTAATAAATGCATATTATGCAAAATCTTAGCACCAGGAGCATAGCGAACAATCTATAAGCGGTTGGCTATTTGTAGTGTGCCCATTTATAGGTGAGGAAACTGAAGCACAGAAATGTTGAGTAACATGTGTGGAGTCACCCAACTAGTATGTGACGGAGCCAGAGTTTGAACTCAGCCAGAAAAACTGGAGCTAGTTTTTCTGGATGCCTCTTAATAACATATTTGACTTCAAAGTGTTAAAGTGTAAAACAATTATAGTCAAGTCATTCATTAACTATGTGACTAATGCAGATCATCTCCCTCGAGCAGCATGCTTAGGACTACAGTACTTGGTTTTCCATGGATTTAGAAGCTTGGGAATGAATTCTTTCATGAAACTTTCCCTGACCAGTTTCCCTCTCCACTGGGCAGGCATTTTCCTTTTCACATCACATATCTCCCCATGCCATCATGGAATAACTGATTCGTTTCCTTCCTGTATTTCTAGTTTTAATCACAGGTGATCTCATCTTGGCCCTTATTTTAAAATACTTGCAGCCTGGACCTCTCCCCTTAGATATAAAATTAGCTCGCTGCCTGTTCCAGCTTGTGTTTAGAAGTACCTCCAGATCCTCATGTGCTCATAGGTGAAGGTTTCAGAGGTGGCTGGATCTAGGGTGTATGAATGTGGATTAAGGGTGTGTGAATCTGGATTAAGGTTAATTAGTCACTGACTGGTTTAGTATAGATTTGGGTGTGGGTAATGGGAAGGTTCTCCTTGGATGTGAGTGGTACCATCCAAAAGGTTTGTGATCTGGATAGGGTAAAAAGGAATTGGAAGCTTGCTGCCTTCTGCCTGTCACGCTTTGAACTGTTTCCCCTCTGATGCCTGCCTGCCATGATACCCTGCCTTGGAGCCAGCAGACTGTGGGCTGAAGCCTCTACAAACTAAGCTGAAATAAACCTTTCCTCCTTTCACTTGTGGGTGTCCAGTATTTTGTCTCAGCAGCAAGAAACGTAGCTAAGACACTACCTAACCATTGTTTTCATTTAAAGCATAGCAAACTTGGGCTGGGGATTTAGCTCAGCGGCATAAGCGCCTGCCTTGCAAGCAGGCAGTTGTGAGTTTGATCCCCAGTACCAATAAAAAGGAAAAAGACAAAAAAAAAAAAAAAAAAAAAGCATAGCAAATCTTTGAAAAGTAACATGACCAGATGTAACAGCTGACTTTCCCATGATTTTGCCTTCCACCTGCAAACTGCTTCTCTTCCATTTTCCACTGTCTTATTTGATGGTGTCACCACCTACCAAGGTATTCAGGCAGGCCAAAGCTTTGTCTTCATTCCTAGGTCACTATCTTTCCTCATTTTAACCTGCTAAACCACTTCATCTAGTGTATTATCACATCCCATCGATTTTATTTCCCAATGTATATCCCTAAATCATCCATTTTTCACAATTTTTACTTCTATAACCATAGGCTAAGTCATCATCCTTCACCTGCTTTGCGGCTGATCTTTCAACCTCTAGCCCTACCCTAATGTCCCCAGCACTCAGAGTGGGCTTTTTAAACCATAACCCATTAATGCCACATCTGTGTTTAGTACCTGTGTTGGGTTTCTGTCATAATACCTGAGATACAAGGAGTAAAGATTTACTTTGGCTCATGGTTACAGAAGTTTCATTTCATGGTTGCTTGTCCGTATTGTTTTGGGCTTGTGGCAGGGCAGTATGTCAGGGCGGGGGAGGCAGGAGGACATGGTGGTAGAGCTGCTTACTTCGTAGGGAATGGGAAAGACAGTAGGAAGGGACCAGGGACCCCGTGTCACCCTCACAGGCATGCTTTTAGAGATATACAAGTATATAGTTGGCCAAATAGTTGTGACAACAGGTTTTAAGTGACTATTAGGATATTCACCCAATGTTTTCTAAAGTACAGTACAATGTTAGATAAAATTGGTTTGTGTGTATGTGTGTTGTTTTGTTTTACCTTTTAGAAAAGCTACATGCCAGACACACTGATTCCTGATCTAGTGAAACAAGTTGGATAGACCACGTGTAAGTTGTAAAGCGTGAACCTGGAGTCTCACAGTTCACTCCTAGATAACAAGACCTCTCCCCTGTACCATAACAAAGGCCACCAACATGCCGTGTGTGTTCCAGTGTGTCACACCTCCCTTCTACAGTTATTAGGCAAGACAAAATGCTGAGAGGGAGTCACTGACACCAAGTGCTTGGTAACAAGCCAAACCGTTTTGCTTGTATCTTTGGAAACTGGTCAGATGGTTCAGGGAAGATGATGAGTAACAGGAGAGACAGCTGCTGCTGGCCTAGAAAACAGGAAGTGTTTCAGTCCATTACTATAATGAGATATCTGAGGCTGGGTAAGTTTATAAATAAAAGGGGCTTAGGGCTAGGGATATAGTCAGTGGCCTAAGTGCCTGCTTGGCAAGTACAAGGTCCTGAGTTTGATTCCTGGTATAAAAAGAAAGGAAGGAAGGAAGAAAAGGTTTATTTTGGCTGGTGGTTCTGGAGGTGAAAGGTTTAGGGACCTTAACTGGTGACTGCTTTTACTAATAGAGTCTGAAGCATTGTGTGGCAAAAGATAGAGTTCTCATCTCCCACATAAAGTCAATCATAATGACCTTATCAAATCTTGATCATCTCCCCAAACCCCAACTCTAAATATCATAAAGTTTCCATAACACCTCAAAATGGGGACTAAATTTCAACCCATGAATCCTTGGAGACACATTAAAGTATATACAAACTAGCACTAAGATGAAAATGTTGAGTTTCAAACAGTATCCATTCTACCCATAGTTATTGAAGCTGTACGCATTTCAGGAACTGTTCTTGGTGGTGGGGACATTGTAGGGAACAAAACAAAGTCCTTGCCCTCATGGAGTGGATAGTAATTAGATGAATAGATAAGAAAACTAAAAAGTAGTAAGTACTGTTTTTCTAAACAAGCACAGGAAGAGGATCAGTAGTGCCCAGGAAAAGGGCTGTTGTTACAGAAAATGTGTCGGGTATGTTTTATTCCTACCCAGCCCACGCCTTCTTCACCTATCACCCCTGACTTGAAAGCTGACTTGTGAGGGCTGCCTCAAGTGGACTCCTGGGGGGTCTTAGCCAATGGAAGAACAGTGAAGTTAGGTAATTTATTCCTCTTTGTGGTTGGCAGTGCACTTGGCCCAAGGTCATTGCTCAGTAGGGTGGCTTCTTTCTAGGTGATTTTCTACTTTTAGATGCTGGTAACTGCTCCCTGTCTTACTCCTTCAAGCCTATAAAACCTTATTTCTCATCTCAGCATCCTGTAGTCTCCCTAAAGTTTCTCTGTATACTCTTCTACATCATCATAAAGAATCCCTTTATTATTTTTTTTGAAGAGTCCCTTTATTGAGTCTTCCTCAAATATAACTATACTATTTGTTTCCTTGGGCTGCTGTAACAAAATACCACAAACTGGGTTACTTAAAACATGGAAATTTATTGTCTCACAGTTCTGAAAGCTAGAAATTAAGAATTGCATTGCCAGGACTGTGCTGACTCTGAATCTGTCCCTGTGTCCTAAGCTTCCAGTGGTTTTTTGCCATCCGTGGCATTCCTTGGCTGGCAGACGCAGCACTACAGTGCCAGCCTTCATCATCATATGGCACTTTCCTCCATTGTATCTGTGTCCCTTTGTCTCTTCTATAAGATACAGGGCTTCAGCCTAACCTGACCATAGCTGGTTTGCTCATGACCGCTATTTCCCACCAAATGATCCTGGTACATACTGCAAACTCCGTAGGATAAATATAGTCATTAAGATAGTCAGTTGAACATTTTGTGCCATGGCTCAAACTTAACTGATGTTTGATATTTAATGGTTTTTGAGAAAGCCAAAGTATGTTACAGTTGGCTGAGGCCTACCTGTGTCTAGT